GGTCACCAGGAGTGCTTGGTAAGGTGACAAAGCAAGATGAAGGACTGATTATAGCTTTTTAACTGTGAGTTTTTTGCAGGTCTGGGCATTGGCTCCAGCCCCACTCATCTGTGCAGCTGACTCTGGGACAGTGTCTTTATCTTTCTGAATATTTATTTTCCTGTGTTTAAAGGGAACAAGTGAACTGAGATTTCCAATCACCCTTCAGCACCCATGATCCTCTGGTTCCTGCTATCAAGTGACAATTATCATTGGCATCATGTGCTCTCCACACAACTTAGAATCTACACACACACACACACACACACACACAGCCTCATCAATAATAAATGCTGGTGTGGTAAAAATGTGCTGTCCAGCTAACAGAGCCTGGAATGGGAGACTCTAGTCCTGGGTCCTCTCTCTGTTTTTCAGTCCAGCTCAGCAATGCCATGTTCAGGGAGGCTCCTATCAGTCCTCTGCTGCTCTGAGAACTACAAACCCTGTCACACATAGCCACTAGAATCCCCAGTATCTGTTGGTGGTGACTCCTCTGGACTGACTCTAGTGTAACTCACTCAGCTTTTTCACAATGTGTCAGAAGACTCGGGCTGTTCCAGTGCTCAGCCACAATGGCTGCAGGGAAGCAGCCGGGTCTGTGGTCTCTAAGGATACAGCTTTTAGGATTCTCTGCTGAGATAAGCATCACCTCTCCTGTAAAACAACTTTAATCGTTTTCCCCCAATTACACATTTTATCTTGGCTAGCAGGAAGCTCAAAGCCACAGTAGAGGCTTGACTACAGCATTTCTGCCAAGCTTGCCATCGGACCGGCTTCACTCTTTCCTCACATACCTTTAGTCTTCTCTGTGTATTTTTTACTGCACTCAATCAGAATTTTGATTGGCCAGTAGTCTGGGTCGCAAGCCCACAGCATCTCGTTTCCATTTTAGAATCAAATGCTACTGTCTCTATTTAAATAAGCATATATGTGCCTCGGGGAATACAGAGTAAAACGTAAGTGTGCTAAGAGACAAGGGGTCATAAGGAAAGGAATTTGCTCGAGAATTCAGCATTAGATAGGAACAGTACAAAGAGGTCTTGAGGGAGGAGCACAGTTTGTTGGCAAAGGAGAGAAGAAGGGTACACAGCACAGGCACAGGCATGTACAGGCACAGGTGTGCACAGCAGCATGAAGAAGGTCAGGGAAAGGCTGAGGAAGAGGGATGAGACTGAGGAAAATGGAGGAGGCTGAGGAAAATGGTGGATGCTGGACAAGGCATCACCACAGCTATAAATGAAACTTTCATGACCTGGTTTTGTTTGTTTGTTTGTTTTGCTTTTTACATTGACTCTCTTGGCTCAGGAATTCCAGAACATCCGTCAGTCATAAGTTCGAGCTCTTGTCCGTTTTCCTGCCACACATCTATAGCACAGGGGTGGGTCTTAACAACCTCAGCGCTTAGGAGACAGGCATATGAGTAACAGATGCTCAGTAAACACTTCCTGGGTGATCCGGCATGAAGGACTGGCTGAGATACAACTCAGGGGATTTCAATGTTCGCCATGGAAAATCAGAGGCTGAGAAGAAAGAATTCAGTCTCATGGGAGCCTTTGTCCATGGTGATGGAACACAGGAAATGCTTAAAATATGCAGAGCAAAGGAAGATTATGGGTGCGGCCACTCAGACTCTGAGATGCAGATATCAAAGGGTTTGAGCCGATTGTTTAAAAAAAATGTAAGAAAATACTTTAAAACAAAGTTTAACATTTTAGCGCCTATTTTAAGGAAATAAAAAGAAGTATCTTCCAAAAATAATATCAACTGCTAAAACCAGAGGTCCTGTTGCATTTGGTCATCATTTTGCAACTTTTAAAAATGATGGAGAATGTGTGTGTGCTGTCCTCTGTAGCAGCCCATTAGCACACCTGGGTATATGCCACCAAAAACTAAATAATAGCCTTAGACTCAGAGAGGTGCAGCCAGCACAGAGTGGACGCTGTCCTTGATGGCGGACGCTCGTGAGACGCATGATGCTGATATTGCTTAGAGCATCGGCTTTGTGTGTTCTGAGAATCCACCATTTCTTCACTCGGATCTGTGGCCACAGTCTTGGCAACCCCCTGCATAGCAGACACATGAGTCAAACCTACGAGGTTTGGGCTGTTGTTAGGTGCCCAGAATAGGAGACACAGATAGTTTGGGGCTCGGTACTATCTGTCACCATAGAAATCCGAGCTGACACCAAATGAGGCTGAGGAATGGTCTTTTCCCAGAGTACACACATGATCATTCTGGGTTTTAGCCAACACGTCACCTGAGCTATTCGGCACTTTATTATAAAGAGGGCTTACTTTGATGATTTTGATATTGCAGGTTTTCCGAGATGGCTTAAATTTGATGAGGCTAACCTGGGATCCTTACTACAGGAGAGTTTGTTACTAACAGCATCTCAATTTATACTGAACTGCCTGATATACAATTTCATAGAAAGCAGCAACATGCACACGTATTCACGTGGACACACATATGATGCATACCACACGCTGGCCTCCCTTCATGCGTACACAAATGATGCATATCACATGGCAGTCTCCCTCTCTGTTAAACACTTCCTTTTGTCTACACACCTATTCCTCTCCTCTAAAGTTGAGGCTATCCCACTTTTGTGTATGTTTATACATACAATGTTTCTCAATTTCTTCCTGTGGCAGAATGAAATCAGTTACGGCATTTGCACCCATAAGAACATGCCTATGATTACTCTCCACAAGTATTTGCTGGGCTTCTTAGCTACTGAGTTAACTGAAGATGGTGGGTCTCAAAGTCAAAGTTAATGGAATAATTTTTCAAAATGAACTTTAAGTCCAAAGGTTCTACCTAGGCACAGAGTTACCAGATCCTCCATTTTGTGTGTGTCTCTCCCTCTCTCTCCATCTCTGTCTCTCTGTCTCTCTCTCTGTCTGTCTCTCTCTCTCTGCCTCTCTCTCTGTCTCTCTCTCTCTCTGTCTCTCTCTCTCTCTCTCTCTCTCTCTCTCTCACACACACACACACACACACACACACATACACTCCTCTCTCTGCCTCCCTTTCTTCCTCTCTCCCCAGCTCTTCTTTTCTCTCTCTCCCCCCTCCCCCTCTCTCCCTCCTCTCTCTCTCAGACATGAAGACCAGTATGTAGTGAGAGAAAGAGAAAGTGCTTGAGAGCAACTAAGACTTGTGTCTCACACTGCTGAGTACCAGGCAGGCACAACATCTAACCAGCAGGACTTCCAGGAACCAATCAGACTCAGGTCTGAAGATTTCAATGTGAGTAGAACACACCACACCCCAAAGGAGCCTGGGTAAGGAGTGTGGGTAACCTGTGCTACTGCTGAAGGGATGGATACAGGAGCTGCTGACCACCTGGGGTCCTGCCATCCCATAGCTTTACTGGATGACCATTCAAATGAATATGAGTGTGTGCATGTATGTGCAAGTGTGTGTGTGCATGCATGTGCATGTGTGTGTTCATCTGTGTGAACACACATGCCTGGACCTTGACCAATAACTGAAAAACTCACAACTTACAAAATCATCCACCCTGCTTGTTCTTTTACCAATACCATTAACTGAATAACTGCCTACCCGGGCATGAAGCAACCAGCACAAGAGGGTACAGCTGAAAGAAAGCTTCCTTTAGGATGAAGAAACAGCTCTCTACCCAATGCCAGCTGGAGTCCATCTGCAAACGCGGCCTTTGGTCCGTCCAGTCAGAACTTGGTCCTCTATCATATATAACTAAAACTTTCTTTGCCTCAGGTGAAGAAATGAAGTTCTTCAGGTTGAAGGCAATAAGGCAGGTAGGCTGGGGTCAGCTTCCCTTAGGGTTCCACTTCCTTCTATTCGTGTCCAGCCAGCAATGGCACAGGTTGGCTGGGGTCAGCTTCCATCCAGTGAGAACTTCCCCCACGCTGAGGCACAGTGTCAAGCAAGGTGGCCTCAGAGCATACAGCTCAGCAGCTGTGAGTAAAACCAAATGAGTATATGCCACCCGCTTTCCGATAACTATCTAGAGCAGTTTTGGCCCACTGGCACATAGGACTATCACTATTGTGTCCTCTGAAGTTTTGCTATATGTGACAAAACAAGGCACATCCCTAAAGGAGGACCCTGGTGCCCTGATGTCATTGATCCTGATGTGTGATAGAGGATGAAGCTGAGTGGAGCCTCCTTGTCACACCCATCTTCTCCTTGAAGAACCATGATGGGTACCACTGCTTTGTAGAACCATGTTGTGCAGTGCTGCTTTGGGCCTTCTTGTATTTCTGGAATATCGTCAGGATGCTTTGATATCATCAAAGCCTTCTTAAGTGAGGTCAGACTTGAGTCTTTCCTCAGAAGAAAATGAGGCAAAAAATCTGTCTAGTCGAGTCAGGATGTCAGCAGGTCTTTGAGGTCTATTGAAAAGTCTTATAGTGATTTACCTTAAGGGACACCATCTGGTGACACATCTGATAGACCTGTATTTTGCCAGAGTCTCTGTACACTGAACTTCCTGTTTAGAAGATGAGAGAGTCCAAGAGGACATCATATAATGGGGGTGGGGGCGCAGAGGGAGCTTGATCCTGTTCATTATTGCTCATTACGATGAGTTTATCTAGAGCAGGGAACAGTGGGGCTTACAAAACCTTTGCTATGCATAACTCTGACCACTCTGACAGAGAGTGTGCCCAGTAGCTGGACATCCTTTATTCTGCCTGTCCCCAGTTAATACCCAGAAAGTGCCTATGTAGACCAGACAGAACATTTGACCCTCACCAGAGGCATTTGGTGCCTACATTCCAGTGAGAGGAAGATGGAGTTAAAGAAAGAGCAATGAGGCAGACGGGGACTGAGTGACATGGGTGGAGCGGAGAGCAGCTCCAGATCAGAATGCTGGGTCTATCGTCCCTGACAGAGATTCATAAAGGACAGAGGTGCTCTGTCTTTCCTGGGAAGCATGGTGTATTAACCAGAGCAAAAATCTCAAGACCTCTGACCTGCAGGGACGATCACTCTGCGTTCATTTGTGGTCATATTGGGGGGCGGCATGTGCTTCTCCTCCATGTAGCTGCCGTAGCTCATGCCCACGGTATCCGGGCTGCCCACCATCTTCCCGCCTTTGCTCACACTGCATTCATCGGGTGAGTTCCTGTAGGAGAAGAAGACAATTTCTTCAGTGAGTACGGTACCCAAAGATCAGGGCTCGGTGGTCCTGTGAAACACAGGTCCAGTGACAGGCAGCATGGGAAAAGTCAGGAAGCAGGACAAAAGTCAGAATGCTGTGGTACACCACATTCACATACAATAAGCCCCACATAATGGTATAAATGGGTAATCAGATTTAGCTCAGGCCATGAGGCGAGACTAGAGATAGTAACGTCAGGAAGAGAGGAAGATGGAGAACTGGGGAGTTGGCTCAGTGAGTAAATCATTTATGCAAACACAAAGACGTGAGTTGCATCCTCAGAATCTCCTGTAAGACCAGCCCAATGGTGTATGCACCTAAATATACCAACGTGCTGGCATGTGCACCTGGAAATACCAGAGGGATGGTGTGTGCACCCATCCTAGCACTGCCACGAAACTTTAGCCTGTCGTTAGCTCTGTGGTTCAGGAAGAGACCTCACCTTAAAAAATAAGTTGATTGAGAAATACAGCAGACACTGGCCTCTGGCCTCCACAGACACGTGCATGAGTGTGTATACCTGACACACACACATACACACACGTACACATGGATAAGACACAGAAATAGGGAGAGGACCCACCCCTTGTTTCACTCCCTCCATGTGAGCATGTAGTCACCTACAACCCAAAGAGAAAGCCCCTAGCATTTTAGTCAACATGGAGACTGTCTGGCATCTTGTCCTTGGATGTCTCCTCTTCAGAACCATGAGTAACATGGGCCTGGTGTTTCAGTTCAACAGCCTGCACTACAGCGTGAGACCATGCTGTCCCCACACCCAGCTCAGGAGCCTACACTGCAGTCTGAGACCATGCTGGTGCCCACACTTAGGAGAAGCACTAAGTGGGAAGCCAAGCTGCTGTCTGGCTTCTACTCCACTCTTCAATTCCTTCTGAAACTGTCATGCCCAGATTCCTGTGACAGATGTCTGTAAATACTCACAGGGAACAGAGAGCTGATGTTCATTCTTGCCAGGTGACAGTAAACAGAGCTAGCAGCAGACACTAGGACTCATGCAGCTTAGCAATGCTCCCAGGGAGTGATGCTGCTTTTGAGACCCCAGCGACGTTCCCTATTGGATTCCAATCCCTGTGCCAAACACAGGATCTAGAGCTGAGGACTCCTGGTGATGGGGGCATAGTCAGGCAGGCAGAGAAGATGGGGGTCTAAGGCAAGAAAGCCAGCTGAAGAGTATAGACCAGCGACCTGAGTGAACCAAGACAGGGACCTGAAAATGGCGGTGTGGTGGGGTGAGTTGCCCCTCTGACCCTGGGAATAGGCCATAGGAACCTTTAGTAAGGCAGTCACTGTATGTGCTAAGAGACAAAAATACCTTTTTATGAAAAAGTGTGTGTTTGTGTGTGTGTGTGCGCATACATGAAAGTGATATTTCAGAGGTACAAGTCTCATCATAGTTTAACATCAAGTAAAGAAAACAGTTTGGAGGCTGGGGAAAGGGCTTAGCAGTTAAGGGCACTTGTTGCTCTTGCAGAGAACCCAGGTTCAATTCCCACTACCCAATTCACAACCATCTGTAACTCCAGTTTCAGGGGACCCTATACACTTTTCTGACCGCTAAAAGCCAGAGCAAGCATTCACATATACACATGCATGCATAACATACATGCACATAAACTAAGTATTGTTTAGGAAAGATGAAGAAATCCAGGTTCATCAGAGAACAAAGAAATATGTCAATGTCTTCTCAGATGGCAGTTAGCCCACAGACGATTGGCTAGCCTGCGGATGATGGCCAGACTCTGGATGATAGACAATGGGTACCCTACACCCGAAGGATGGCAGCTAGCCCACAGATGGCTAACCCTGGGTCCCCACAGTCATGGCACCTCTGTGTGCTGGTTACATTATCTGTAGTAGAATTTTGGAAACACTTCTCAAGTTCTACCCGACACATGGATTTCCATATTCCTGGAAATGTTAAGACAACCATGGACTCTTTAGACTTTTCACTCCAGTTCTGAAAACTTGGCTTCTGCCTCCCAAGGGCCCTTGTTCATTTGCTCCAAGCATTGTTAGCTGCAGCTTGGCAGGTAACTTGTAGAATCACATGGTTGCTATGGATTTGACCTTCAAGTTTGAGAAGAGTAAAACCAAGTAAGGCAGGTAGGCGGGGTTAAGGCAAGTAGGCGGGGTTATCCTCTGAGCAAGATGGAACTGAAATGCCATAGTGAAATTCATTTCTCATCCATAGACCTTGACAGGACTGTGGACAAGAAGGGCTGGCTAAGGGCCCAGCACCCCGGAATAGTTTTATGGTACCAAGTGCTTTGAAACACAGGCTTCCTAGCATCACTTGCTAACGTGTCCAGGACCACAGAGGATCTCAGTGCTGGCACCAAGGAGACAGCAAGAGCTACCTGAGCAGGTAATGGCTGGGGCTACACAGGGCTGAGGTCCTACTACAACCTGGGAACATACAACCCTATATGTAGAATGTTTACTGCTGTATTAACACGGAGGGAATTTTAAAATAGTAATGGTCCTCGTTCCCATGGAGCAGGGCCGGCTGTGTCTTTCCAGAGCTGTCTACACACACAGGATTTCTGTTCGATGCTATAACATTTTCCTGACTTCAAACATTTGTCTCTACAAGACTCATCCTACTATCAAACCACAGAGTATCTTTACTTGAGATAATGTTTCCTGATCCTCTGGAAAAATCTGTCAGTCAAGTCAGTGTGAATGTTTTGGTGTTACGTGTCTCAAAGAGAGAAGATTCTTGGGAAAGAGAAGTTAAAGATTTAGTTCTTTGGAAGGAAACTTTTTGATAGTAGGTGGTACCCAGGGTGTGAGAGCAACATCAGACATGATTGTGAAGTCTAAATTTAACTACTTGCTCATCATTTAGGCAACTTACTGAGCATCCACTGTACACCAGGCACTAACAGTTTTCTTCTATCCAGCAAAGGAATTAATCACCTGAACGTTGAAGACCAGAGAGATGAGGCTTTGGGGGTCTAACCACCTCTTTTCTCATTATCGCCTAAGTGTGTGTGTGTGTGTGCGTGTGTTTGTCTCTGTGTTTGAGTATCTATACATCTGTATGTATCTGTGTGTAATCTGTGCCTTCGTGTCTGTATGTCTGTGAGTGTATGTATGTATATCTGTGTGTGTCTGTGTACCTGTGTTTGCACATCTCAGTGTGTCTGTGTGTGTATCTGTGTGTGTTTGTCTCTGTGTGAGTGTATGTGTATCTCTCTATGTGTATCTGTGTTTGTGTATCTGTATGTTTCTGTGTGTGTTTCTCTCTGTGTGTGTCTATATAGCTGTGTATGTATCTGTGTTTGTGTGAATGTGTCTATGTGTGAATGTATGTGTGTCTCTTTGTGTGTGTCTGTATATCTGTGTGTATGTGTATCTGTCTGTGTGTATATCTGTGTCTGTGTGCCTGTGAGTACACATATATCTGTGTGTGTTTCTGTATGTGTGCATGTGTCTGTGTGATCTATGAGTGTATGTGTACCTCTCTGTGTATGTCTGTGTATGTCTATATGTGTCTGTCTGTGTCTGTCTGTGTGTATATCTATGTATATCTCTCTGTCTCTCTGTGTCTCTCTCTGTATGGAGATCTATGAATACCGTTGTATATACATGGAGGCCAGAGGACAACCTCCGGTGTTAGTCCTCATCTACTTCCTTATTTGAGACAAGGTCTCCTGTAGTTTACCACTGAGCTATGACATCATAGCTGTCCTGGAGTTTCTTAGTCTCCTATCTGGTCCTCTGTCATGGCTTTAGGAACACTGGGAGAACACACATATGCTGCTCCACCTGGCTCTACATAGGTTCTGGGATCCAGACTCAGATCTTCACGAGTGTGTGGAAAGTGCTTTATCCACTGAGCCACATCCTCACACCCCTTTAATTACTGACATTAATTTTCCTGAGAACAAAACCTCCATACATGGATTATGGGAATTTTTCTATGAAATTAAATAGATCCCCTTACGAAATCTGGATATAACCGGTCGCCAGTGTGTATCCAAACTATATATAACTATTTAAAACACAGTCAAAGGCAAGGACAGTAGATGTTGAAATGGAAGAATCACAAGCTTGAGGGCTAGCCTGGGCTACACAGTGAGTTTGAGGCCAGTCTGGGCTATGTAGTGAGACTTGGTCTCTGAATAAACAAACAGCAATGGACAGCCTTTAGCCAAGTTACTTTGGTTTTCATGTTATAACCCGCAGGCATAATTCATGTTGATGGGTTTCCAATCCCATCCTCCATCATAAAAAACAAACAAACAAACAAACAGCAAAATGAAGCCATTAGACTCTATTTTCAAAACTTATATCTTATAAGTAAATATAAATAAAATATATAATATGTGTACCTCTCTGTGTATGTCTGTGCATGTCTATATGTGTCTGTCTGTGTGTTATTATAAATAAAATATATAATGTTTTACCCTGTCACACTTAGTTATTAACAAAGGAAGTCAGGATGAAGCAGTGAATTTGACTATTTTAAGTTCTTCATTAAGGGAACTCTTAACTCTGAAAGGAAAGGTCTTGCGTGGCCCCCTGAAGTGGCTTTTCAACACTCATGCACTGGGTGGAGCTGCTCTGGTCTTGCTATCATCTTGTCTGTGATAACGTGTCACAGGAAGACCTGGCATTGACCCGTGGGAAAAGTCTTCACCATAGCTCACCAGGTCTCGCCGACATCTACGGAGGTGGCGCGCACACAAAAGAGAAGACAGGCTAGAGAAGTTTAAAACACTGCTCATCCGTAGGACCCGGGTTCAATCCCCAGACACATGGCTTCTCACAGCCATCTGTAACTCCAGTCCTGCAGGATCTAGTGTCCACTAGCTTCCTTAGGCACTGGGCACACAAACAGTCCACAGGCATATACAGAGTGAAAAATAACTCCACACGAAAAATAAGACAGGGAGGGGTGAAGGTGCCCGAAGAGACACGTTTAACGTAAGGTGAGT